CTCCAGCCAAGTCCAGCAGCCCTCTTCAGCTTAACCTTTTTCTTTATCTGGTAGTCTGGCTGCAGAATCACCTACTTAACAGCTACCAAGGACACATTATCCCACCTCTCAAGAAAGTGTCTGTGGTAACTGTTACTTGTCCTTAGTGATTTCTAGACTATGTTTATGTATTTAATTTTCTAATATTTTCCACTGGGTCCTCAAGAGAAATCTGTATCCACATTTGTGGTATCCCCCCTTGGAGTCAGGGCCTTACCCTCTTCTATATCAGGTAACATGTTGGGGATCTCACATGAAACACAATAACTTTTCTGACAACCCTGTGACAGTACCATATACTTCTTTTTTGGTTTGGTTTGGTTTGGTTTGGTTTTTGTTGGGCAATGGGGGTTAAGTGACTTGTCCAGGGTCTCACAGCTAGTAAGTGTCATGTGTCTGAGGCCGGATTTGAACTCAGGTCTTCCTGAATCCAGGGCCAGTGCTCTATCCACTGTGCCACCTAACTGCCCCCATACCGTATACTTCTAATCGGTTCCAAGAATAACATGTTGAGAAATTTTTCTAAGGTAAATACAGAATTCTTGGTCAATTTATTTCTCTTTATTTCCAGAGTAGGTTGAATTAGATTAAGGTACATTCCAGTTGTAAATTCTATAACATGTAAGTGATCTATGAGTTCAACTTATAATCTTGATGTAAACATAATTCAACAGTATCTATATTTCATTTTCTCACATAATGTAAATAATTACAATAGTCCTTTTTGCTATCCCTTTAAAAGCAGTTCTGTTTTTCCATATGTTCCAATTAGGTTCAGTGGCACAGGAAAATATATGTATTTGTTAGCCTTAGGATATTTATTTTTTTTTGCTGCCTTAGTAACTAATCAACTGAATAACTATAAATTACTGCTCTAGATCTGACTGAAATATATAATGATGTTTTCTTTACTTCCACTCTCTCACTGCAGAAAGTTCTTTGATTTTTCCCATTCTGATTTAATCTAGTCCTATAACCTAAAATATTGATCCTTCTCCCAGAATTTTATGTATATTTTCTAGTATAATTTATTAGTTATCTACATGCATTTTAAGTATAAAGCAGGTCGTTTTTTTTAATGTGTACTAAATAAATTTATCATCTGTTTCAATCCCTGTTTTTAAAATCTCCCAGTTAGAACCACTTTTTTAAAAATGATTTTTAAAAATTAATAGCTTGTAACTCAGCTTTTGCTTTATTTTAGGTTCATTCTACAGATATACATTGATATCATTAATTTCACAAAAACACAACAGGGGAGGTGTAGCACATTAGGCACAGTGCCATGTTGTATAAATGGATAATCTGCCAAGTAGGATTTCAAGTGTAGTTTAGTTTAATATATGAAGGTTTTCATTTGTCCTCTTACTCCTGCCCTAGGCCCCTTATATTTGGGTTTTAAAAGTCCATTTCTATATCTTAGGCTCTCTTAGACTTGAAGTAATTATTAAAGGCAAATGTAGTTTTATTATCCATGACTGACAGATTATGAAATTGGCCAAATGTACTCTAGGATTTAAAACTTTGCCAAAAAAAAAAATCGTAGTGGCAGAAGCGGATTTTTTTTTCTATAATTCTTGCTTGGATAAAGCCATTAAGTAAGAATATAGTTGGGAGGACATAGAGGGAGATATAATCCTAGATTCAAGAGAGAGATGATACCTGAAAAGGGGTAGCAGAAAGGAGGAGAAGAAAAGAATGTTATTGAAGCACTGGGAGACTAATGTTGACCTTACCTTTGTCTCTATATGAACTTTTTATTTGCTCAATGAGGTTATTTAAATTGGCTTCTAGCAAACAGGAGGGGAAAAAAGAATCAAGAGTTGAGGTGTGAAGTACAAAGTTTTTTTCTAATGTATCATATGTCAAACTTTTTGTAGTTTTGTGTAGTGAGAAAATTGAATGTGCTCTACTGCCATGTAAATAAATGTTCTTATCGGGTGTCTACTTTTTTTATTTAATATTTTATCTTTTTCCCCAATTACATGTAAAAACAATTTTTAACATTCAATTTTTAAAATTTTTGAGTTCCAAATTCTCTCCCTCTCGCTCTCCTCCTCTTCCTTCCTCCCCCCCTCATTGAGAAAGCAAGCAATTTTATATAGGTTATACATGTGTAGTCATGCAAAACATATTTCTATGTTATTTATGTTGTGAAAGAAAGTGGGGGAAAAACAAAAAGAAAGTAAAGAAAAAGTATACTTCAGTCTGCATTCAGATTCCATCAGTTCTTTCTTTGGAGATGATAGCATTTTTCATCATGAGTCCTTTGGGATTATCTTGGATCATTGTATTGCTGAGAATAGCTAAGTCATTCACTGTTGATCATCATAAATATTGCTGTTACTGTATACAAAGTTCTGCTAGCTCTGCTCATTTCACTTTGCATTAGTTTATCTAAGTCTTAGCACAATAGCATTCCATCATAATCATATGCGACTTGTTCAGCCATTCCCCAGTTGATGGACATCTTCTCAGTTTTCAAGTCTTTGTCACCACTAAGAGAGCTGCTATAAATATTTTTTTTACATATGGATCCTTTTCCTTTTTGTTTCTTATCTCTTTGGCATATAGACATAGTAGTGGTATTACTTGGTCAGAGGGTATGCATGGTTTTATAGTCCTTTGGGCACACTTCCAAATTGCTCTACAGAATGATCGAATCAGTATATAGTTTCAACAATAGTGCATTAATGTCTCAAATTTCCCACATCTCCTCCAACATTTGTCATTTTCCTTTTCTGTCATATTAATCAATCTAATAGGTGTGGTGTGGTAGTTCAGAGTTGTTCTAATTTGCATTTCTCTAATCAGTAGTGAGTTGGAGCGTTTTTTCATATGCCTGTAGATAGCTTTGATTACTTCACCTGAAATCTACCTGTTCCTGTCCTTTTACCATTTATCAATTGAGGAATGACTATTTTTATAAACCTGATTCAGTTCTCTATATATTTGAGAAAGGAAGTCGTGTCTACTTTTTGAAAACAAAATGGTGTTGGGCTCAGATAATCAGGAAACTCTATACACATCATATGCCTTAGATTGCCTTTTAATTTTCACTCATTCTTTCAATAAGTTATTTATTCTTGTGTATAATAGTATGGGTAGATATTCGGATATAAAACGTGTTCCCACAACTTCGACAAGCTTGCAGTCGCATTGGGAAAGAAAGACATGAATGAAATATAAAATCAAAGTACAGACCAATATCATTAGTGTTTCAATTCAGCCAACATTAAGGGTTTACCTGTGCAGAGGCACTGTTAGTAGCTAGGACTACAAAGATAAAAGAGGGAAGAAGCAGAGTCTCTTGCTCTTTTCTGATCTACCTTCCATCTGGTGCATCAATTATTATAATTCAAGATGGACTATTATAAGTGCATGTGAGAGAGCCAGACAAAGTACTAGGAGAAATTTTAAGAGATGGGGCTATGGGGACAAGGAGGATTAGGAAAAGCTATGGAGTAGGTGGCCCTCAGATTGGATTATAAGGGAGCAGAATGATTTCAGGGGAGATCCAGGGTAAGTGCATGCTTAGAGGGTCAGTAGGTGGGCAGTATGAAAAAGGTTGGCAGCAGGTTTAGAACATAGGTCATGTGAAGGGGATAGTATGAGCTAAGGTAGGAAGGTTACTTGGAACCAAAATTTACAGGGGACTGAATGTGGGGGGAAAGGAGTTTAAACTTGATTCAGTAGGGAGTCACTGAAATTTTTTGAGCAAAGCAGTGTGATCAAAGCTGCATATTGGGAAGCTTATGCCTACCTTGTTAGGAAAGGCAAATTGGAGAGGGAGAGCCCAGCGATGAGGTCATGAGAGTATCTCAGATGAGAACCAACTGCATCAGGAGGGGAAAGAAGGGAGCAGATGTTAGCAATATTCAATCAGTAGTCTATATAGGACATGGCAGCTGAACCGAAGGGGAACAAAGGGGTCAAACACAACCCACAGTGCTTCCAAGTGCAGCCAGAACCATATTAAAATGTAAGTGGGAAATTACTAAACTAACAAATACAAATCACACAGATAATGTTAACGTTTAGTTTACAGGCACATCCTTATGTACATTTAATGGCTCACATATCTGTTTGAGTTTGACACCACTAATCTTGTCCTATCCACTTCTTTTTTTTACAAATAAAGAAGGCAGAAAGTCCCACAAGAGAGAAATGACCTATAGAAGTCTCAGAGCCAAGGCACAAACCTAAGCTTTCTGATTTCATATCCACTGTGCTTTCCATTGTACCCTGCTTGGGACTGTGCTGGAGTGAGAAGGACAGAAAAAAGGATGAGTCCAAGATATCTTACAGACTAGTGAGAAGAAAGCAGTGCCATCAGTTGAAAGAGAATTGTCTCAAATAGGGATGAATTTGGGAGAGAAAAATAATGAGCTCTGTTTTATATATGTCCTCAAGTTTGAAATGTCCTATAAGAGAGATGGTCATCCAGGACTGGGTATCAGGAGAGCAACCGTTCCATCCTAATTCCAGATTCAGTCAGCATGAAATTTTAAATGCTTGGGAAAAAAAATTCTTGAAAAATCATGTATTCTGGTACCACCCATTCATCTATTGGCTTATTATCAACTTGTAGTTGGCAGTATTATTTGCAAATATTTCAGTTTCTGTTATATCATCTGTGATAGTTAATCTGACGAAAACCTCATATGGCATGCTATTTATTTTTTAAAAGGTATTTGAGATGACTTACACTTGGATTGACAAATCATGTTGGTAATTTATCAAAACTGTATGCGTTTAGAAACTGTGTGAATTACTGACCTAATTTTTTTCTATAATTAAAAAGGGGACTTGGATTGGTAGAATATATTAGCTGAAAGCACTTAGCAATCACTTTGTGTGTAATCCCCATCTGATTGGTAGAATTTTTCCTCTGGTTTTGCTGTTAATTATAAACATGAATAGGTATGTGTCATAATTGATGTTTTGTGGTTCTTTATTAGAAGAGAGAAAAGTTACAAGATGAAGAAGAAAGGAAAAGTACCTGGGTTAGCCAAGAAAGACAGAAGACACTAGACAGACTTCGCACATTTAAGCAGGTAATATAAAAACACGTTCTTATAAGAAAGCAATGAAAATTGTATACATACTCCTAGGATTTCTACATACTTGGTTCTTTAAGTGTGGTTTAGAAAATTACAAGTGAAATTAAACTACCTAAATCATTTTTTGATTATTTTAATTGTAAATGTATAATCTTTTTCCTGCTTGTTTCTAGAGTTAATATTTATCTGACTATTACAATAAGGTCTTCAATCCTCTTGTTCCCACTTTTCCATTGTTCTACTTTGACCCTATTCAACAGGTCCAGCAGGAGGGCAAGAAAATGTCCTGATTGTTCTGATAAGCCTTACTTCCTTACAGTCCTGTTAGATGTGGAAGTTAGTGTACATCCAAGTGCCAGGTTTTGCTGGTTGATTTTGGTATGTACCAGTGGGTAGGGCTGCAGAGATACTTATTTTATACATCTTTTTTAGCTACACTAATACATAGAGGAATGGCTGTGTCAGTGTTTGAAACATCTGTCTATGAAGATAACTAAAAGCCTAATACTTAGTTATCAATTTTAAACATCCTTGAGCCTTAGTGAAATCTATGTTATAGGACCACGTTATAAGTGAAATTGTCTTCTAATAAAGTCTTTTTAGTAGTTGAGGGACTGAAACCTCTTAATGATTTCCTAGAGTCCAGGGGTGGGGAACCTGTGGCCTGGAGGCCGCAGGTTCCCCACCTCTATGACCTAGACTATCGCCTCATAGAGGTTTGTACTCTATAACAAATAAAATCATATAAAAAGATTCCAATATAGTTAGTCCTTTGAAAATACAAAATAGTAACCTGTTTGTGTAGCATGGATCCAGAAAATTGTAATGTAATCAGAGCTCTTTAACTGCATTCTTTTCTTTTAAAAAAAATGCTCCTCCATTTTCAAGTTATTGTTATATGAAGAGTATGTTAATGGGACTTAAAATAATTATATGTTCTCTGTGGGCTGATATAAGTGAACACATTTTGCTTCTGTGTTTTACTCTTTATGTTTTCATATTTTTGTTAAGTTTTAAATGGGTAATTATTTAAGAAGGAAATTTGGGTAACCAAACTGAAGTAAGCAAAATTTCACTGTGATTTTTGGTAAAGTGAGGCCTTACTGAAAAAGTTAATAGTGGCACACCTTAGTAAGATGTATCAGATTCTGGTTGCCTGGGTTTAGTGTGATGAAGTCTGCTGTATGTCATACAACTTTTGTTCTGGTTGTCTCAAGAGCAACAAAGAACATTTTGCAGGAAAATGATAATATCAAAATTAAAAATTATGTAACAAAAGTTATCTGCAAACATTTTTTGTTTTACATGATTTAACCAGTTTAATGTTTTCCCTTTAGCGGTATCCCGGACAAGTCATACTTAAGTCAACACGACTTCGACTAGCTCATGCAAAGAGAAAAAGTGTTGCAAGCCCAGTGTCCAGTGTAGATCAGCCTCAGTCCCTACCAGTAACCCTAAGGACAGAAGAGAAAACTGAAGAGGAGGAACAAGGAAAAGAGGTGCTTCAGTCTTTGCAAACCAAGGAACCCCAGAGACTGGCACAGCTTGAAGAGCCTTCATTAACACAACTTGAAGCCGCTTCATTACCTCCCAGTGGTGTTACCTCTGAACTGCCTCATGTTACACCTCTTCCACTTCTTACTGATAATGACCTGACACCAGGTACTGTTACTGTTGTCCCACTCCCACCACCTCTTCCTCCAACTCCTCCTCCACCGCCCCCACCACCACCACCACCACCACCACCCCCTCTACCTACTACTAAGGATGGTCCCACAGAGTCTCTGGAGAAAGGCCTTTCTAAAGTGGAGGGTGAAGAGAAGAGAATCCCTAAGTCTGCCAGTGCCCCCTCAGCACATTTCTTTGACAGCAGTCAGCTGGTCAGTGCCAGGAAGAAGCTTAAAAAAACTGCTGAAGGTTTACAACGGAGAAGAGGTAATTTTCAATAAAAGTACAGTTAAACTTTTATTTAAAGTGAGATATGCCTGTTGCACTTTTGTTTCATAGTTCCTCATAAAGGTTTAAAAAAAATTATGTCAGATTTCATGAAATTTAGAAATTGCTTATTGCCATTAACGGTTCTCCATTTTTCTCCTCTTTTTATGAAAGGAATTGGTGATTCTTGGGTAGTTTGGGAGTGAGAAATAGTTATTTTAGTAAAAGAAAGATACAAAGTCTGAGCATCATCATTAGAGGAAGAAATGTTACTTAGGATAAGTTTGGCAAGAACTGACAATAGGAATAGTAACTAGAGAAATAATGGATTTTTACAAATGAGTTGTAATATCTTAAGTCAACCAATAGCAGATATTTTTTGAAATGTTTATAGTGTGTTAAGTCCCATTGGACAGGTACAAATATATAAGAAGCTTACACCATTTGAGAAGATGTGGTAAGAAATCTAGATTAGACCTAAGCATGTAAATTATCTGAGTGAAAGAATATTAGTCACTAAACTGAACCAAAAGTAAGTATTATGTGTTCAGTTCTGTAACCAGTCTAGATATGGGGATATTTCAGGCTTAGAAAGCAGTTTGACACGTCTTTATTTACCTCACTTTCCCTTTCTGCAAAATAAAGAAGTTTCATTAGATCACATATAGATTTGACACCTGGCTTACATGAGGCCATTGTTCTCAGCATTTACCATTTTTAGAAATGCTCATTTTTCTCTTAGATGTCCCTTAGCCATAGTTGCAAAGTATGGCTAGAATGCCAACCACACTCATGGGAAAAATTGAGAGGGACATTTTAAAAATAGCTTTAATCAGATTAACCTTTAGCTGCAGTAAATCTGTACTTTAATTTTAAAGGATGAATTTTTCTCTAAGTAGTCAGTCCTTTGGTTAAAGGTAGAGAGAATGTGGTTCTTTATAGCTGAAGAACTTAAGTTATAGGTAGCAATTGTGTTTTACCTGTTAGGGACAAAAATGACAACCTGTAAAAAGAGGAATTTTTAGGCAGTTATAAAAAGAAGTTATTATCAGTGGTACAATGAAAAGGACACTGCTCTTAAAATCAGACCTGAATTAGAGTCCTAGGTTTTACTTCACTTGGGCAAGTCGTTTAACTTCTCTGGACTTCAGTTTTCTTATCTGTAAAAGGGAGATAATACTATTTATACTATCCATCTTAGCTTAGAGCTTTCTTGAGAAAAAAGTTTTTGTAAACTTTAGAGAACCTTTTAAGAAGGTGAACTTTTGTCTCAGGAACGTTTTGGACGCTATTAGGACAGAATCACACTTGATGTCACTAAACAACTGTTCCCTAACCTTTAATTCTGTTTATTTACCAGATTCAAGAATATCAATGCACAAGACTAACCAGAGTAGGATTAGTATTTTTCCTGTGCAAGTTATTAGGAGCAGCTCTTCAGTAGAAATTGTGTGAACAGACCAAATGGTCATACTTAGACTCTTTTCACTATCTTATTAAAAATTCTAGTGATTACAAAATTTGATTATGGAAGTTCTAATTATCTATTTTGTTTTTGTTTACCAAAGTGAGTTCACCAATGGATGAGGTACTGGCTTCCTTGAAACGTGGTAGTTTTCATCTGAAAAAGGTTGAACAACGAACTCTGCCTCCTTTTCCTGATGAAGATGATAGTAATAACATCTTGGCACAGATAAGGAAGGGGGTGAAACTGAAGAAGGTACAGAAGGAAGTTTTGAGAGAGTCCTTCACGCTTTTGCCTGATACAGACCCACTAACACGTAGCATTCATGAAGCACTTCGAAGAATTAAGGAAGCATCACCAGAATCTGAGGATGAAGAAGAGAGTTTGCCTTGCACAGATTGGGAAAACTAACATGTAAATGGTCCTGTCTTTGTCAAAAGCATTTTCAGTTTTCTTTCTATTTGAGGGCAGGGGTAAGGGTATTAAAGTTGGGTTATCATTTGGTTTAATCATGTTGTTTACCACATTCTCACTACATTGTGTGATGAATAATAAACTTTTTATATTTATGCATTCCTTAAATCAGTGGATCAGAGAAATAAGTTTTTGAGATATTTAAACACCTCTTTTTAACAGAGGTTGAGTGATCCCTACAGTACTGCTATCTCTTTAATAATATCCCTTATAAAAGTGAAACAAACTTTGACAAATTAAGTCACCACCATATTCCAATGTGTACATGTTTTTTTTGTTTTCATTTTTCAGTGTTTCTGACTTGAAGAAATTGACAGTCATTTAGGCTAAATAACTTCAAATCAGAAAAAAAAAATAGCACTTCTTATATAAACTGAACTATTAACATTACCTTCCCAAGGAGTCACTTTATCTAGTAGTATATCGTTGTTAGATCATGGAGACAATAAGCCAATAATATCTGCTTCAGCATTTCCCCCACAGATTTGTAGGCAGTATAGTAAATTATTTAATAATTACCAATGGAAAACATTCACCTAAGGATTTCTTTTTGTGTGGTAGTGGTGGTAGGGAGGTGAGGAAAATTAAACAGGAGTTTAATTTGTGAGTTGAACTACAAATTATGCCAAATACCTAAAATTAAGAGAGTTGTCTCATATTTAAAATAGTAATACAGGCCCATGCATTTTACTTGGTCCTATTAACATGTTTTTACCATAGCCATTAAGATCAATAAGGATACCGTTTTTTCCCCCTTCCTTTTGTTTTTTCCCAGCCTCTTCCTATTCACAAATTTTCATAGGTGGTATGCCTTGATTTAAACTGTTGGTCGTAACTGGGCCAAGCACTGAGCCTTCTAGGCCACCGAAGCACTCCCTGCCCTTAGTGGATGTTGATCAATAATAATGATGAAGGTGGTAGCACATTGAGATTAGTCCTCTAAATGTTTTGATGAGAAAAACCAAATACATCTCCCCCATTCTTCATGATCACCACCAGTTCTTTAAATATTCCTAGCTATAATTACTTGGGGGCTGTACCAAGTGATTTGAACTCATTTAGAAAATAAGATATTCTGAACACTTAGGGTTTCAATTCCATATTATCTTGGGCTCATAGTATCACAGATTGAGAGCTAGAAAGGGTTCTAGTTCAAACCCCTCATTTTATAGATGAGGACATTGAAGCTTTGAGAGGTTAAGCTTTCATAGGTGGTAATTGAAAGACGTGAGATATAAATCTCAGTCTTCTTAGAAATCCAGTGCCCTTTTGCTATACTATACCTTCCTGCTCTGAAAGATTTTTGTTCTATCCTCTTTAATCTTATATTCATTCTTGATTGAAAAAACAAAAATAGAAGTTAGGTATCTTCATTTTGTTTCTGCTGTGCATTATCATTATGTGTTCATCCACAAGGATATCCCTTCCCCCTCATCATTTTCTGGGCTTCACTATTCTCATAGTACCTTGCTACTTTTTCATTCATCTTTGCTTTTTACAAAGAACTTTTCGGATAGTGAAGTTGATGACTTTAGAGATCTCCTTTTCTTTGTCGTTAAAAGTATTTGTGACTTTGTCTTTACAATTTAGTCCTTAAGAGTTTTTCTATCCCTCTTAAATGAACTTGCCTTTTTAGTCTCAGGTCAGGCCATGGCATCTATCTTTTCATCAACATTCTATATTCATAATATTCTCTTTTCTATCTGTGATGAACAGAAAGGACTTTGTTTTTGGCAACTCTAAGGTCACATGGTATCTTCCAAATATGTGGTTGATAACTTCCCCTTCACCAACTGGCTCCAAAATAGTTTTATTAGTCTTGTTCTCTACTTCCCTAAAAGTGAAATTTTCGGCAGTAAAAGTCAGGAAATTGGTTTTGTTTTTAATAGGAAGAGATCCCCAAGAAATCTCCAGACAGTTGTATTACCTGATCATTACCATATCCTGCCTCTTTGCCAGTTTTGCCATTTTTAAGTAATTTTAGTCACCTGTGCCCTCAATTGTTGACTTGACTGTATATAGATTCTTATTTGAACAGCACAACAAATACATCGAGAGTGCTATTAGTGTCCCCATTTTACAAAGGAATAAATTAAGCCTAAGCTCATGGTCACGTAATGGCACTGCATGACTTGAACCTAGGTCTTCTGACTACTTGTCATTTGCCACTAACCATGTTGCTTCTCAGGCACATGGGTGATTGAGGGGTTTGGTTTTTTTGGAGGGTTTTTTTTTTGGTAATTTGGACTTGAATACTTAGAAGTTTAGCGTTAAAAAGGACCTTAAAGATTTTCTAATACAATTCCATTATTTTATGAATGAGAAGAAAACAGTACCACTGGAACAAGAAACTAGGTCAATGCCTAAAGTAATTTATATAATTCCTACTTGTTGAATAGGAAGGATTAATGAAGCATATAGATTTTTTCTTTGCTTTGTTTTTAGAGATTGAATTTAAATGTAATTCATGTTGATAAGGCTTTTAAAAATATCCTGTTTTCAGATTTATTTTTATTTTTTAAAAATGTATCTTTCACTACCTGTCCACAAGGAGGCAGGATGGTACAGTGGAAAGAACACTGGATTTGGAGTCAGAGGACCTGGATTTAAATCCTGTTACTTTCCATGCAACCTTAGTCAAGTCATTTAACCTCCAAGCTTCAATTTCCTCATCTGTAAAATCAGGGTTTGGCTTAGATGACCCTTTCAAAAGAGCTTATCCTGTTTAAATCTATGGTCTTTGTAGTCTTCAGTTACACCATACAGATAAGTGACTGTTTATAAGGCTAGAGTCAGAACACAACAAAAAAGCACTATCCTGTACTTCAAAAGACATTTTTAATTTGATCACAGTAGTATCTGGAAATAATTTCTTTCCCAAATCAATTCAGTCCTCTTTAATACCAAAGAATAACAGTTAAGTAGAAATACTTATTACAGTGACCTCATCTAATAATAAATGCAACATTCTACAGTTAAAATAATACCTTTAAGAGGTTATCTTTTTTAACATGATTTTGTTTTTGTGTTTTTGAAAACAGGTGACTTAACAGCCACTGAGGAAAAATAATGCCCACAGTTGAAGAATTATCTTCCTACTCCTTTGGGGAAAATTTGTAAGCAGTTTGATTCTGCAGTCTAAACTGCATTAGTTCAGTGTGTGAAAAGGGAAGTCATTTTATAGATCATCTTCATGATTCTATCCATTCCAGTACATAGAGGTTAAACAAAGTGAATTTTAGATGTGCAATGTATGTAATCATAATGAAGAGAATGTCTCTAGGATACCCTCCCAGTTCTTTTAAAAGCACTTTTTCCATTTACATCAATGGAGTGGCCAGTTAATGTTAGAAGAATGCTGTTGCATTGACGAACATCTACTGTGAGTTATATCAGGACTGCTATGAAATCTGCCCTTTAGTGCACTGAGAAATCATCTGCTTGAAAAACAGCTTCTTCCACATCAGTTTATTCTACAAACAGTTGAACATCTTCTAAAAAAAAAATAAAATCCTAGTTACCCTAGTAGTTTATGTGACAAGAATTGTAAGAAATTCAGATGGAAAATAATCCCAAACTTCCATAATTGTTCATCTCCAAAAGAATTTACATAAAGATGTTAAGTAACATCTGAACAGAACTGTAGAGTAATCATGGAGATACATATATTAATATTTATTTGCAATGACATGATACACTTAACACGGCACAGTTTTAGAAAGCCACACAGTCTTATACTTTGTATGTTTTTTGAAGTAAAACTTTCCATGCGCTTTTAAATAGCTCTTCATAATTCTGAGTTTATACTAGTTTGAACTTTATGTGCAACTTTGTTATGAGAAGCAATACTTTGTAATTTGATAGTACTTAAATTCTTTTTAGTTTTTCTGTTTGAACTGTTACTTGATTAATGTAACTCATGAAATTTCTATTTGGAATCACGTATGAAGATTACATAATGGGGATCCAGTGCTTTAATCTGTGTACTATGTAAATTTTGGTGTGCTCCACGGTTTAAAAACAAAGTGTGCTCCACAGTGACTTCTATCAAAAAAATAGACATTATAACCTCTTCAATTGACAATTCACTACTTTTGAGCCCTCAAAGTAAAATTTTGATGAGTACTCTTCTGCATCGGCACAATGAAAAACAATTCACAACTGAAGACTAGTAGTTTATAGGCAATTTATTTTTTTTTCCCATACCAGGATACTAAAGATTAATCTCTTCACAGTTGTGAATAGTTAAGTAGCTCAATTAGACTAAACGCAAATTTGCCCAGTCTGCTGAAACTAGTAAGAACACTTGAGTAGATTCTTACTCTTGAGTAAGCGAGATCTATCTTGGACTCTGTACAAAAAAAGTTAACTATTGCAGTAACAAGGGACCTCACAATACCCAGTCCTGTAAGACCTTTAGAACAGTGTTATAGTAAAGTCCCAGTGTATGTGGACTGCTACTCATGTGTTAAGGAATGAAAAAATGTAGTAATGCCATACTACCTTTCAGCCCCATTTCTTTTAAAACAATTGGGGGTTGGGGAGACCCAGCAAGATACCCTGGCAAAGGTCATAAGTCTTAGGCTATTCAGATGTCTTGGCTTTTTAAAAAAAAAATAACTTGTCCATTCAGATATTGATATTGCCAAGTATTGTTTGTTGAAGAGTTTAAAGAAATATTTGCAAAGTGCTTGTGAGCAGCTTTTTTCCAAAGTGGCATTCTTTTTATTCAGGCAACATTTTACAGATTCATATGTTATCTAGGCAGATTAGTAATACAAATTTAATATAGGAAATTTAGTTATCCTAGAGTCTTTAAACAAGAAAAGTATTGTACAACAATGAAACAAAACTTGCTTTTTAATTTAAAAAAAAGGTTTGGGTTTAGTGATACTGTTTTTGCTTTTAAAATTAGCAGCTTTGTAAGCAATTACATACATGAAAAGAACAAAGAACTCCTATTTCAGCTATATCTTTGGATACAAGTTTTCCCACTCTACAATTTCGTATCCTGTTTTCTTAATAAGAGAACCAATAAGAGAGACCCTTTTTTAAATTAATAGCAATATGTACTTGGAACCTCATTGTGGGGTTATTGACTTAAGGAAGATCTGTCTTCTACCACTTTCAGGTACCAAAAGCACTTCATTATAAGGCAGTCTTAATTAAAAGAGTTTCCATTGCCATTACCCAAGTGACAGTGTCACAGCAAGGCTACATTGCTTATGTCAAGTTGATGTCCAATGGCAAGATGATTGATTCCACCAACTATTAATATAATTTATAGGGTTTTTTTTAACATGAGATTTCAAATCCCAACAAAGTTAAACAAGATTATATTCTTTCCTTACTCAATACTCATCCACCATTAAAACATAGGCTGATGTACTGGCCTTCTACATATATTGTAGCTATATTTATAGAAGTGATAAGAGCTACTTGTCTTATTGAAAAAGTTGTCTGGTTTACTTCCCTCCAATTAAACTTGCAGTTCAAACAATTTTTATTACTGTTAATTTATCATGTTTCCATAATGAGAATTAAATGTTAATATACAGTTCCAGTCCAAGCTGCCAGGTGTTTAAGTAGGAAAGCAAATGTGTATTGACTTTGGGGTGGTAAGAGAGTAACCTTACAGATCCCTGAGTCAGTTTCACATGTTTCTCCTATTAATAGAAATGAACTTGTATATAGAGCTGTGTACAGTATATAGAAAAAGTATTCCAATGCTGCAAAATCTTGGTGGTACTGTCACAGTATGGGGAAATGCCTGGCTTAGGAGGCTTTACAAAGATTGTTATCTTGTTTGTTTGACATGTCTTTGCAGACTTAATGAGCATGTGAGTAGTATAAAAATAATTCCAAGTTCCATCCCCTAAACCTTTGGAGCAGAAATGGTTTTATAAAGTGCATTTTGAAAAGAGACTCAGTCCAGCGATAATACACTACACAATATATTCTTTTGTAACTTTCTATTACATGAAATTATAACCATTTATTCTGCTTTTATGTAACAGAAAGCCTCTACTTGTTTATTACAAGCTGAGTGAGATGTGTAATGATAGTAGATAATCTAGGGGTAGGATATGTGAGGCCATTTTCCATAAAATACAGTCTAAGACATGAGGAGCATACTGCTGCCATCACAAATGCTAAGACTTCATAGTCATAAGTGAAAGAAAAGTAAGCCAAAATGGAAGGACAACATCTGTGATTTGGAATTGAAAATCTACAAAAGTTTTTATACATATCCATAAAAATATATTTTAAAATCATTTTATTCATCTGTTGTGTTTACATAAGATGAAGGTAGCTTTTTTAGCTTAGGGGAAAAGTTTTCTGGTTTTGATTTTTTTTTATAAAACACAAAACCCTGTTTTAAAGTTTTCTAATCTTAACACACATGCTTAACATCAGCTATTTACTTGTAAAGAACTCTTGTGTCCTTAGAGGCAATATCAGGGATTTGGGGTTTCATATACTTTACGTGGCTCTTTATAAAGAGCTATTTTGCCTTTAACATCTTTTTCATTTAGTAAAATATTTCAGAACTCTGGCAGGTGCATTATTGAAATGCAACCAATTGATAAGAGAAACTGTAAGCTTAATTGTTGTTAACCTTTGTTTTCTTTGTTGCACTGAATTAAGATTGTTATTTATAAGGCTCTATATTCATTTTAAACAGATTTCATTTTCTTTTTTTAATAATTTTATTCTGTTAAATTCCCAAAAGCATGAAAGAAAAAACTGTTATACATAGCATTAGAAAATTGATATAATACAAAGCAGTGAGGGTTATTTCAGAAAGAAGAGGTAAAAGTGGAAGCACTTTTCTGTTGGAGCACATTGCATTCATTTAGAACTACTGACAGATACGGTAGTTACATTTTTAACTCGATTGCAAAATGCTCTCTAGCTAAAAGCACACTGACCAATGTCACTGCTAATTAGTTGCTCTATAAAAGTAAGCAGTGGATATTTTCTAGCCTATAAATATAGTATAATTTAAGAAGTTTTCCTACAAAATGAGTTTATATTGCTGCCTAAACTGTCACGTATGTAAGCATTTAGAGGTTTTTAAAGGTGGGAGGGAGATGCCCGTATACTTTCTGGATTGATTTTTATACATGTTTGTGTATGTGTCGTGTGTATGTATGCACGTTTGTGTGCATGCATATATATATGTCTGTGTACATATGTATGTAAATGTTTATCTTGTCTATTGAGTTATTTTTAAAGATCTGTTCATTCCAGATTCCTAAATTTGGCCCACAATGTTTACACCTTGGCACTTGTAGAACTTAATTTGATTCCAGTATAACGAAACAAATCCTTTATCACTGGCCTTTGAGGAATTCCAAATTCACTGATGAAATGTTCTTCTCTCCCCCTTCCATCCCCCCACCCCTGACTCCTTTACAGTGCTACTGAAGTGTGGATATACAGAAAATACCTCTGATGTTGACAGTGAGCAACTTTTACCAAATTTGTGGTTCCACTGCATGTACAGTAGATTTTTTTAGGGGGGAAAGGGGGAAAGTGAGGCAGTAGTGATTCTAAAAAATGTCATGTATACACATATAATAATTTGTTCAGAAGGTATGATCCTGAACACACAAAACAAAGGGTTTAAGTTACTTTTTTTTGAAGACCTGCATGTTATTGTTAAAGGGTACAACTGCTATTCTAACTTCTCACAAGATCTTCTCATTTTAAGAAATCGCTTTAATCATGAAGTGATAAAACCCCCACCTATGAAGCAAGAAGGATAGACAATTTGACCCATACAATGACTTCTTTACCTTTGAGTGTATCTCCACAGCCTCATTGTACTGTATGTCTTGCCAAGTGTGAAACCACAATATTCAGTTTATGAAGAATAGAAAGCTACAGATCATCTTGCATGAGTGCAGCTCATTAGGGTTAATTAAATTGACATTTTTCAGCCTGTTCTGGATACATGAAAATTCTAATGGCAAACTGATCCACCCTTCACTAGCTTTGTGCAATATTGTAAAAGTAGAAAAAAAAACAACACTAGCACATTGTGCTTGGCTTTAAGAAGTTCTTTTAACAGTTGCATTTGAGTGGACATTTTAAATGCACATTGTATTGTATTTGCAATACTAAGTAATATTCAACGTTCTAAAGTATTAAGTAACAAAATGTAAAGAAAAAAACTAAGCAAGCATTTAGAGCAATACTATGAAATCTCCAATAATTGTTTTGACTGTTGCCTTTTTCTTTTTCTTTAGTGCAACTTTTCTGCAATGTCATTATCGTATTGCTTTTTATTTCATGTTTTTTACACTCATGACTTCAAAGTTAAACTATTCTACACCAAGTACTGCAATCACTTTTCTCTTCTTGTACATGCAATGTAACAACATACAGTTTTGGTGCTTAACAATATTCCTTTTTTTTCTTTAATAAAGGATATTTATTTGAATTATTTGATTTTGCTTACTCAGAAAAGATTTCTGTATATTGTGATTCTCATTTTAGGTGGAATGGATCATTCATGTAAGTCTTACTTTTCAAGTATGCTGTAAGAACATGATTTTCTTATTTATTTTCCTCCAAAGTTTATGGTAAAATATTTTCATTAATTGAAAGTATACATAAGACCGCAGGCACTGATTGTAATTGTAGATTCCTGATGGGGTAGAGGGAGGATAATCCTGTCATTTCTCCCAATAATCAAGAAATTTTAGCAGTGATACAACCAGAAGTTGTATTGAATTTCACTTAATGTGGTAATCATTGCTTGGTCACTTAAGTTAATATAAAACTAAAAGGAAGCCTTCTTATGTAAGATGTAGCCAGTAGCATTTTGTGAAAATGTTTTGTACTCTAGTGGGGGGAAAACTGCTAGTTTGGTGGTTTTTAAACTTTTGAAGATAAAAGTGCTAGATCTCACATTTAACAAGGAATGTTATTATATTTATTAATATGGATGTGGAAAAAAATTGCCTAAAATTAATCAACTGCTTTCAAATACTATGGATGTCATATGTGTGTGTGTGTGTGTGTGTGTGTGTGTGTGTGTATGTGTGTATATGTATATATGACAGATTTACCTTAATAACTATCATTTTGCAATGTGAATGAGAGGAGTTCAAGTTTCCTATCTTCTGATGTAAAGTATTTCCCATGGAAAACCTAAAAATTAAAGTAATGAAAACAGGAAGAAAAAACTTCAACTAGATTCCACAAGTGGAAGTCAGCTTTGAGTGGATTGTCCACTTTATTAGCTGAGATTTCTAGTCTTTTGCTCCCCTGCCCTCTTCATAAAGCCCATATAACCTTTAGTTATCTCTTCCAGCACTACAGTGTGCTTCCCCTCTAAATCACTGTCTGCTGCTTAGGTTATTTCTGCCCAAGAGCAATAGTCCTTAGGATGTGCTTACTTAGATTTCCCACCTTTAAGGAAACAGAAAAAAAATAGCAAAATGAGGAAATGAGTTCTGTCTCCTTCTGAGTTGTATCCTTAGTTTGATTTTTTTTAAACAGGCATACATATTTAGATACTAATACAAAGTAGCATTGTGAAAGCAAATGTAAGAGTTTAGGTTGTGTTAGCTCTTGGCAGATAAACAATTTTTCTTTATGCCACTGTCCAAAGTGCAACCAATGATCTCAGTATTTGATCCTTTGGAGAATAACAGAAAAGGTTTTTACCTAATCCACTACTGAATATGAGTTACTACCTTGGATGACAGTGCTATGTGATGTCATGCTAGCCAGCTTAAATTATTTTCCATTTCATTTAATGTAATTCATGTGGCCTACTGGAGAAAACCTGATCCTTGCTATCGAAGTCCACGGTTTGACTTTGTGGAAGAAGAAAAGATTCAGGCTTCATGTGGCTATATACTAATGGGAATCCACTTAGGGAATTAAATATACATTGTTCAGCATCCCACAGTGCCTTTAAAAAGATAAAGGACTCATCAAATGCAAAAGGTAGAAAAAAATCATTTACTGACCATAATGCAATAAAATTAGTATTGGATAAAGGAAATTTGAGCCAAAAAAATGTAAGTAAAGACTAATGACACTTTGAATAACAATTGGGCAAAAGAAACCACAAATTATAGACAATAGTGTTAAGTATAGTGAAACAGTATGGCAAAATATTTGGAATACAGCAAAAGTAGTCCTCAGGAAAATTTATACTTCTGGAAAATATCAAACTGATCATGAACATATTTTAAATGTAAAGGAAAAATCAATTATATGCCATGAGAAACAAAATTTTTGAAATTTTTTTGGGATAGGATAAAACTAAAAGCTGTTGAAAAAAGGCCAGTGAAAAATGAAAGTTCACATAGAAAAAAAATTATTTTTCTGATAGTGGTTTGGTATATGTAAATTATATGTATGTGTGTGCATGCATATGTATATAGATAATTCATTCTCCAGTAGGTAATTGCAAAGTACAGTGCTTCAAATCAGGATATGAGATGCAAATCAAAACGAGCTGAGGTTTCATGCTTCACCCTTGCATATTGCCAAAGATGACAAAAAATGGCCGAAGTCAGTGTTGGAAGGGTCGGGATATAGTAGGCATGTTAATGCATAATTGGTGGAGCTGTGAAATAGTATAGCATTTTGGAATTATGCAGACATGACAAAAATGCCCATACCCTTTGGACCAGAATTTCATTTACTGGGCTTATATTCCAAGGAAGGTGGTGGTGGGTTTTTTTTAAGTCCCTATATAAAACAAAATAGTTCTAGCAGCACTGTTGTGATAGCTAGAAATTAGAAACAAAGTAAATGCTCATCAATTGGGGAATGGCTGAACAAATTCTAGTACATGAATGAATATTAGTGTGCTGTAAGAAGTGATGTGTGTGATGAATACAGGGAAGCGTGAAAGAATCTACGTGAACTGATGCAGAGTAAACAGAGCCAAGAAAACATCTAAGAATTACAACAATGTAGACGGAAAGAACAGCTACACACCAAAAAAAAAAAAATCAAAAGTGAATGGAACATAAAGGTCAAGCAGCACTTGGATATGAGAGATGGGAGGTGGGTGGTCCATAAGTGTTATACATTGAACATTTTTTCAGTATTTTTCAGTGTTATCAGTTCTGACTCTTTTTTTCTGTTTGGAAAATATTATAGAGGATGATTCCTTGGAAGGGGGAGAGGGAGGAATACTGAGGCTAAGTATGATTTAAGAAACAATTTTTTTTCAAAAACCTATGCCAATAGAACAGTATTGAAATTTATGAGTATCTACAAAAATGTAAAATGATCAAGCAATGCAAAAAGATCTTACCCCAATAACAAAAAAAAAATCAAGCAATCCATAAATTGCCAAGGAGAAAAAATCCTTGCATCAAATGGATTTTCCATTGAATTCTATCATTTAAAGAACAATATGCTACTATTATTCTCAAAGATAGAGAGACAAGCCCACCGAATACTTTTAATTAGGCAAAGGTGGTCCATACTCTAGAGTGAGAACAAAGAACCACAGACTAATCAATAATGAATAGTGTTGCAAAATTGGAAGAATGACAAGTGGATGGCAGCTGGTGTTGCAATAGAGTGAGTGCTGGGGCTAGAGTCAGGAGGGCATTCAAATCCTGTCTCAGACACTAGCAGTGACCCTGGGCAAGTCACTTAGTCTGTTTGCCTCGGTTTCCTACTGTAAAATGTGGATCATCTTAGCATCTACCTACCAGGAGTATTGTAAGGATCAAAAAATATATTTGTAAAAATCCTTTTGGACGTAGTAGGTGTTATGTAAGTGCTTACTCCTTTCCTTTCCCTTCCCCTTTGCAAGTCAACAACAGAAATACATTCAAAAGGTAATTTACTATAACCAAATTGGATTTGTACTGGGTGTGCAAAAATTGTTTACCCACCACTAATGCTTAGCATAGCATTTAGCAAATAGTAGACATTTAATGTTTATTGACCGAGCACTAATAAAAACAATTAGCAAAATAAACAAACTACCCAAAATTACAAAAACCATATATGCTTCAATAGATGCAGAAAAGGCTTTTGACAAAATTCAGCACTCTTAAAACCTAAAAAGGCATGAAAATGCCATTTTTAATGGAATCAAAAGCATTAAAAACCAAGATGTAGCATTGTTGTGATAGAGAAATAATGGAAACCTTCCCATACAAAAAAAAAGGTAAGGATTCCCTCTTTCCTCACTTATTTAATGTAATCCTAGTTATAGCAATAGGATAGAAGAATCAACCAAAGAAATAAACAGGAAAGAGGAGATAAAACATCCCTATTTGCAGATGATTGGATTAAATATCAAGAAAAACCCTACAGAAATAGCACAGAAACTAAGATGATAAATATTTGCAACAAGGTTATAGGATACAGAAGCCACAAGTATCAATAGTATTTCTTTGCCATACAAACAAAAACAAGGAAAGCATTAAAATCAAGCAATCTTCCACATAGCTGCCCAAGTGATTTACCTAAAGCACAGACCTGACGCATTGCTTTCCTACACCAAAACTGCAGTAGCTACCTATTCTACAATCAAATACAAATTCCTTGGTATTTAGGGTCTTAAACAATTTGGCTCCAACCTAACTTTCTAGCCTTACACATTTCTGTCCTTCACACATTCTGCCATCCGGCCAAACTATCCTTTCTAACTTTTCCTTACACATAATGCTCCATTTGTTATCTTTGTGACTTTTCCTTCCTGGTTGTTGTTCATGTCTAAAGCATGCTTCCTCATCAACCTACATCTTAGAATCTAATAGTTCCCTTCAATGCTTATCTTAGGTGTTGCATTCTACATGAGGCCTTTCCTGATCTCTCCACTTCTTGTCTCTCCCCACCTTCTGCCAAATTATCTTGTAATCTCATATACACACTTATATATGTGTGCTGCCTTTTCTGGTAGTCTATAAGCTTCTTGGAGAGGAGGATGCAGTTCTTTTGAGAGTAGTCTGTTGATATCCTTTGGCCATCTATCCATGGGGACGTAGCTCTTGATCTTTTATATCTGCTCTAATTCCTTATATTCTTTGGATGTCATACCTTTTTTTTTTTAGGCAATTAGGGTTAAGTGACTTGCCCAGGGTCACACAGCTTGTAAGTGTGGTTTGGTCTGAGGTCACATTTGAACTCAGGTCCTCCACTGCGCCACCTCGCTGCTCCAATATCATACCTTTTTAAGAAATATTTGGCTCAAAAACGTTTTTCCCAGTCAACTTCTCTTCTAAAAGCAATGATTTTGCTTAAGCAAAAGCTTTTCAGTTTCGTAACTGAAATTACCTAGTTTATCTTTTGTGACTATAACCCTTGTTTCTTTAAGAATTCTCTTGACCGTAACTGCGAAAGGCTATGATGTTGTTTTCTAATTTTTAACAGTGTAATTTCTCATGTTTAGGTTGTGTATTCATTTTAAATTTATTATTCTGTATGTGTTAAACTATTGGTCTAAATCCAATT